GGGGACACCAGTTTGGCCCTGAGGGCACCAGAAGGTGACACTGGGGACACCAAGAGGTGGCCCTGGTGACACCAGAGCTCCATGGACACCTTGACCAGTCCTCCAGGGACACCTGGACCAGTCCTCCATGGACACCAAGACCAGTCCTCCAAGGACACCTTGACCAGAGCTCCATGGACACCAAGACCAGTCCTCCAGGGACACCAAGACCAGTCCTCCAGGAACACCAAGACCAGTCCTCCAGGAACACCTTGACCAGTCCTCCATGGACACCTTGACCAGAGCTCCATGGACACCAAGACCAGCCCTCCAGGGACACCTGTACCAGTCCTCCAGGGACACCTTGACCAGCCCTCCAGGGACACCTTGACCAGTCCTCCAGGGACACCTTGACCAGGCCTCCAGGGACACCTTGACCAGAGCTCCATGGACATCTTGACCAGCCCTCCAGGGACACCTTGACCAGTCCTCCAAGGACTCCTTGACCAGAGCTCCATGGACATGGAGACCAGAGCTACAGGGACACCTTGACCAGAGCTCCAGGAACACCAAGACCAGAGCTCCAGGAACACCTTGACCAGCCCTCCAGGGACACCAAGACCAGTCCTCCATGGACACCTTGACCAGTCCTCCTGCTCCACCTCCCTGGAGCTCTGGGACCTGGACCAAGACGTCCTGCCAAGGTCCACACCCTCCAGCCCTGGGCCACCAGGAGGAACAGGGAGGTGACAACTTAGGGCCACCAGGGTCACTCCCTGTCCCCACCAGGGGGGACACGTGTCACCCTGACCTCCCCAGGGTCTCCTCCTCCTCCTCTCAAGGTGCTTTTGGAGCCCAACAACCACCTCCTGGCCGTGGCACACGGGCCAGCTCGTGGTGGGCAAGCCCACAGTGGGGTCACCAGGGTCATCCCACAATGGGGTCACCAGGGTCATCTCATGGTGAGGTCACCAGGGCCATCCCATGGTGAGGTCACCAGGGCCATCCCATGGTGAGGTCACCAGGGTCATCCCATGGTGGGGTCACCAGGGTCCTCCCACGAGGTCACCAGGGTCATCCTATGGTGGGGTCACCAGGGTCCTCCCACAGTGGGGTCACCAGGGTCCTCCCATGGTGGGGTCACCAGGGTCATCCCATGGTGGGGTCACCAAGGTCAATCCAAGACCACCATCTCCACCCCAGACCTGGTGCCCTGGGTCTTCTCCTGCCCCCCCAGGAGCTCTGGGGGCAGCTCAGGACCCCCTGGACCCCCTCCCCAAGGACCTGCTCACAAAGCCACGTCAGAAACCTTTATTCATGGACACCTCCCCAGGGTTCCTGGGTCATCTCCTGCCCCCCACCCAGAGCTCGGACCGGCCGGGTCTGGGGACCTTCATGAAGAGGAAGAGGAGAAGCTGTGGGGTCCATCCTGTGGCCACCGTGGGGAGGTGGGTGGTTGGTTGGTTGGTGGTTGGTGGGGTGGGGGAGGTCTCAGTTCCTTCTCATGGTGTCCTGGAGCCACCGGTTGAACTTGCAGAGGTTGACGTAGACGCCGGGTTTCTTGGGGTCCCCACAGACCCCGGGGCCCCAGGACACGATGCCCTGGAGGCGCCCGTCGCACATCAGGGGGCCCCCGGAGTCACCCTGGGGAGGGGAGAGGGGCTGGGACACAGGGACACCTTGGGGGACCCACAGCTGCCCTGTGGAACCCACGGCCACCTCCTGGAACCCCCACGTCCAGAGGAACCCCCATGTCAACCTCCTAGAGCCCCCACATCCACGTCCTAGAACCCCCATGTCAACCTCCTAGAGCCCCCACGTCCAGTAGAACCCCATATCTATGTCCTAGAACCCTCATATCCACCTTCTAGAACCCCATGTCCACCTCATAGAGCCCCAACCCCCATAGCCACCTTCTAGAACCCCCATATCCACCTTCTAGAACCCCATATCAACCTCCTAGAACCCCCATATCCACGTCCTAGAACCCCCACGTCCAGTAGAACCCCCATGTCCACCTCCTAGAACCCCCTTGTCCAGTAGATCCCCATATCAACCTCCTAGAAGCCCGATATCCACCTTCTAGAACCCCCATATCCACGTCCTAGACCCCCCACGTCCAGTAGAACCTCCATGCCCACCTCATAGACCCTCAATGTCCACTTTGTAGGCCCCACAGAGTAGAACCCACACATCCACCTTCTAGAACCCCCATATCCACGTCCTAGACCCCCCACGTCCAGTAGAACCTCCATGCCCACCTCATAGACCCTCAATGTCCACTTTGTAGGCCCCACAGAGTAGAACCCACACATCCACCTTCTAGAACCCCCATATCCACGTCCTAGACCCCCCACGTCCAGTAGAACCTCCATGCCCACCTCATAGACCCTCAATGTCCACTTTGTAGGCCCCACAGAGTAGAACCCACACATCCACCTTCTAGAACCCCCATATCCACGTCCTAGACCCCCCACGTCCAGTAGAACCTCCATGCCCACCTCATAGACCCTCAATGTCCACTTTGTAGGCCCCACAGAGTAGAACCCACACATCCACCTTCTAGAACCCCCATATCCACGTCCTAGACCCCCCACGTCCAGTAGAACCTCCATGCCCACCTCATAGACCCTCAATGTCCACTTTGTAGGCCCCACAGAGTAGAACCCACACATCCACCTTCTAGAACCCCCATATCCACGTCCTAGACCCCCCACGTCCAGTAGAACCTCCATGCCCACCTCATAGACCCTCAATGTCCACTTTGTAGGCCCCACAGAGTAGAACCCACACATCCACCTTCTAGAACCCCCATATCCACGTCCTAGACCCCCCACGTCCAGTAGAACCTCCATGCCCACCTCATAGACCCTCAATGTCCACTTTGTAGGCCCCACAGAGTAGAACCCACACATCCACCTTCTAGAACCCCCATATCCACGTCCTAGACCCCCCACGTCCAGTAGAACCTCCATGCCCACCTCATAGACCCTCAATGTCCACTTTGTAGGCCCCACAGAGTAGAACCCACACATCCACCTTCTAGAACCCCCATATCCACGTCCTAGACCCCCCACGTCCAGTAGAACCTCCATGCCCACCTCATAGACCCTCAATGTCCACTTTGTAGGCCCCACAGAGTAGAACCCACACATCCACCTTCTAGAACCCCCATATCCACGTCCTAGACCCCCCACGTCCAGTAGAACCTCCATGCCCACCTCATAGACCCTCAATGTCCACTTTGTAGGCCCCACAGAGTAGAACCCACACATCCACCTTCTAGAACCCCCATATCCACGTCCTAGACCCCCCACGTCCAGTAGAACCCCCATGTCCACCTCCTAGAACCCCCTTGTCCAGTAGATCCCCATATCCACCTCCTAGAACCCCACGTCCAGTAGAACCTCCATGCCCACCTCATAGAACCTCAATGTCCACTTTGTAGGCCCCACATAGAGTAGAACCCACACATCCACCTTCTAGAACCCCCATGTCCAGTAGAACCCCCATGTCCTCCCCCCAGACCCCACCTCCCACCCACACAAACCTTCAGGCCCCCCTTGCAGGCCCCGTATCCACCTCATCAACCTTCTCCAACCCCAAGATGGGACCTCCCAGGGCTGGAAGCTCCATCATCTCCACCTTCTCCAGCCCCATGATGGGACCTCCTGGAGTTGAAGCTCCATCATCTCCACCTTCTCCAGCCCCAAGATGGGACCTCCTAGAGCTGGAAGCTCCATCATCTCCACCTTCTCCAGCCCCAAGATGGGACCTCCTAGAGCTGGAAGCTCCATCATCTCCACCTTCTCCACCCCAAGATGGGACCTCCCAGGGCTGGAAGCTCCATCATCTCCACCTTCTCTAACCCTAAGATGGGACCTTCTGGAGTTGGAGCTCCATCATCTCCACCTTCTCCACCCCAAGATGGGACCTCCCAGGGCTGGAAGCTCCATCATCTCCACCTTCTCTAACCCTAAGATGGGACCTTCTGGAGTTGGAGCTCCATCATCTCCACCTTCTCCACCCCAAGATGGGACCTCCCAGGGCTGGAAGCTCCATCATCTCCACCTTCTCTAACCCTAAGATGGGACCTTCTGGAGTTGGAGCTCCATCATCTCCACCTTCTCCACCCCAAGATGGGACCTCCCAGGGCTGGAAGCTCCATCATCTCCACCTTCTCCAGCCCCAAGATGGGACCTCCTAGAGCTGGAAGCTCCATCATCTCCACCTTCTCCAGCCCCATGATGGGACCTCCTAGAGTTGAAGCTCCATCATCTCCACCTCCACCTTCTCCAGCCCCAAGATGGGACCTCCCAGGGCTGGAAGCTCCATCATCTCCATCTCCACCTTCTCCAGCCCCAAGATGGGACCTCCTGGAGCTGGAAGCTCCATCATGTCCACCTTCTCCAACCCCAAGATGGGACCTCCTGGAGTTGAAGCTCCATCATCTCCACCTTCTCCAGCCCCAAGATGGGACCTCCGAGGGCTGGAAGCTCCATCATCTCCACCTTCACCAGCCCCAAGATGGGACCTCCTGGAGCTGGAAGCTCCATCATCTCCACCTTCTCCAACCCCAAGATGGGACCTCCTAGAGCTGGAAGCTCCATCATCTCCACCTTCTCCCGCCCCATGATGGGACCTCCTGTCTCCAACCCCAAGATGGGACCTCCTGGAGTTGAAGCTCCATCATCTCCACCTTCTCCAGCCCAAGATGGGACCTCCCAGGCCTGGAAGCCCCCCCAGACCCACCTGGCAGGAGTCAGCCCTCCCGTGGGCTTGGCCAGCACAGACCATGTTGGAGGTGATGGAGCTGGGATAGACCTTCCTGCACTGCTGCTCCCCCACGATGGTCACCTTGGCACAACGAAGTTCCCCGGGGAAGGTGACTGGGGGTGACACACAGGAAGTGACGTCAGGAGGAGGGGGAGGGGTCAGGTGATCCAACACCCCCCCCTCCTCCCCCCACCTCCCTTGGACCTCCTGGCACCTCCACCCTGGAGCTTCTGCCTCTTGGGGGCACCAGAAGGAGCTTCAAGGAGCTGGTGACCTTGGGGGGCACTTGAGGTCATGGGGTTTCAGGGGTCAAGGTTCCCTCAAGGTCAAGGGTCCTTCAAGGTCAAGGGTCCTTCAAGGTTCCCTCAATGCTCCTCAAGGTCATGGGTCACTCAAGGTCAAGGTTCTCCCAAGCTCAAGGGTCCCTCAAGGGTCACTCAGGGTCAAGGGTCCTTCAAGGGTCACTCAGGGTCAAGGGTCCTCAGGGTCAAGGTTCCCTCAAGGGTCACTCAGGGTCAAGGGTCCTTCAAGGGTTACTCAGGGTCAAGGTCCCTCAAGGTCAAGGGTCCTTCAAGGCCAAAGTTCCCCCAGGGTCAAGGTTCCCTCAGGGTTCCTCAGAGTTAAGGGTCACTCAAGGACAAGGGTCACTCAAGGACAAGGGTCATTCGAGGTCATGGGTCTTCAGGGGTCATAGTTCCCTCAAGGTCAAGAGCTCCTCAAGGTCAAGGGTCCTTCAGGGTTTCCTCAAGGTTCCTCAGGGTTAAGGGTCCCTCAGGGTCCCTCAGCATCAAGGTCCCTCAAGGTCAAGGTCACCCCAGGGTCAAGGGTCCCCCAAGGTTCCTCAGGGTCATGGGTCCCTAAAGGTCCTTCAAGGTCAAGGATCCCTCAAGGTTAAGGTCCCTCAAGGTCAAAGTCCCCCCAGGGTCAAGGGTCCCTCAAGGTCCCTCAATGTCAAGGTCCCTCAAGGGTCACTCAGGGTCAAGGGGTCTCAAGGTCAAGGTCCCCCCAGGGTCAAGGGTCTCTCAAGGTCCTTCAACATCAAGGTCCCTCAAGGGTCACTCAGGGTCAAGGGGTCTCAAGGTCAAGGTCACCCCAGGGTCAAGGGTCCCTCAAGGTCCCTCAGGGTTAAAGGTCCCTCAAGGTTCATCAGGGTCAAGGATTCCTCAGGGTTAAAAGTCCCTCAGGGTCCCTCAAGGTCAAGGTCCCTTAAGGTCAAGGTCCCTCAGGGTTCATCAGGGTCAAGGATCCCTCAGGGTCCCTCAGGGTTAAAGGTCCCTCAAGGTCAAGGGTCCCTCAAGGTCAAGGTCAAGGTTCCCCATCCCAGGGGG